GAATCATAAACATCTGACAGGATCACCACTAAGCTGTGACTAAAGTGTCTTTATCAACTCCATACCTCGTCAGAGAGTTTGCGAAACTATTACCTTCTCTATAGATGTGATTGAAGGACACTGTACCAAGTGAGACACGTAAAGACATCAATCTCATTGAATATGCTCCATTTATCCCAAGGTCTCTGTTCGACAGAATTAACCCATGTGAGAGCAACTTTTGAATCAGATTCAATAATTAGTGGTGAGGTCGCATAGGGTAAGGCAGCAAAAAGGCGCAAAGCTTTAGAATAGCCATCAACTCTGCAAGGTTCGAATTGCACAGGCCAAGGGGACTGAAAAATTATCCCATGACAAAACCATCCGAATTTTGGAGAACGTCTCCACAGCCAGAAGGTCCTGGCTTACCTCTAGCTGACCCATCAATGTTGAATTTGAATTCTCTCGTGGGGGCGGGAACCATGAAACACCCACACATTGGTGGAGCGTGTCCTCTTTGACAAAGAAATACGTGGTTCAGACACCAACCTAAATCATCAATGCATCAACAGCTTCACAGGCTTAGACCCAGAACAATGATCGTATTTAATAAGGTAAAAAATTTGAAGGCTATCCCAAACCTTAGCGGTTAAAGGTTGATTCATTGCGTGCCAGCCAAAGAGACAAAGGGTTGCCCCACACACAAATCCATCTCTTATGGAAATATTCCACTAAGGGATAACCTCCCATGCCTGGAAAAGAGGAGATTGTGTTAGGAGAGCACCAAGATATGCCCCACCATTTAAGAACGACGCCCTAGATGGTCCAACTTAAGCTACATGTGAGTAAGACGTATGAGCACCTTCTCAAACTAGGCCACACCACACACAACGAAGCTGACAAAACTGAAGTATACTCCACGAGATAGTAGGAAGGTTTTTGTAGGGATGGCAGTGTGAATTGCAAGTCATAAAAAACATTAGACTTTTGGTGGAATGGCCATTTTCCATAATGATTGGAACCAAACTGAGTTATTATCAATTGTGGTGTCCAACAAAGAACAAAAAGTTTTTACTAAAAAAGATCCCCACGCATCATGCTTCCAAACCAGCCGATAATCTCTTAATGGAAAAAGAGAAATAGAAGAGAGAGAATTTAGAATCAAATCGACGTCAGCTTTTTTCCAAGCATATAAATCACGTTTAAAGTTAATTGATCACTGTCCATTCTATCGAGTGTCGAGAACTTTCATATTTTTGTTCATAGCCAGAGAAAAAAGTCGAGGGAGTTTTACAGAGAGTGGTTCATCCTTGAGTCATTTGTCTAACTAGAAAAAAACTATTGCTCCATTTCCCACTATCCAATGACAGGCATGAAGGCTAATGAGGTTATGAATCTCCTCCGAGGATGTGAGTTGCACAATACTCCTCCATACAGAAGACATTCTCGCTATGTGAGATGTTTGAGGGTGTCAATGCCTTATGCCTATCCCATATTTTTCCACTATCAATCTCCTCTATAGTGCTTTCTCATTCGTACCGTATCGCCACCACCATTTGGCGAGAAGGGGTAGATTCTTGTGAGAAAGACTAGTGATTCTTAGTCCTCCATACCGCTTTGGCCCGTAAACAATGCTCCACTTGACCTTGGAGATTTTACATTTATTTAAGGATCCACCTTACAAAAAAGATCGTCTCAATTGCTCCAATTTACGAAGAACACCTTTGGGTGCTTCAAAAATGGAAAACTAGAAGAGAGGTAATCAGTTAAGAACTAAGTTAATGAGAGTGATCCTACGTCCGAGAGATAAGTACTTCCTTTGCCAGAGAGCAATCTTCTTTTTGAAATTATTGATGACTGGGTCCTAAGTGAAAATTCTCCTTGGGCTAACACCAAGAGGAATACCAAGGTAATTAAAAGAAAGGGATCCAAGTTTGCATTGCAAAAAAAAGACAAACTCATTGCCCAAAGAATCAGGAATGCCAATTAGAAAAGCAGAAGATTTCTCAAATTTGATACAAAGTCCAGAAGAAAGCTCGAAATAGCGAAGGATCTGTTTAAGGTTTCATGCTCCTTGAGTTTCTGGGTGCATAAAAATGATGGTGTCATTTGCGAATTGGAGATGTGAGAGAGAGAAGCCATATGATGAAAGAGTGATGCCACGGAATAAGCCAATAGATTTTACCTTTTTGAGAGAGAGATGAAGGGTTTCCACAGCCATGATGAACAAAAATTGAGAGAGTGGATCACCCTGGCGCAGTCCTCGCTTCATGGGAAACTCAGCGGTGGCTGAGCTGTTGACTAACACAGAAAGCCGAACAGTGGGTAAACACTCAAAATCCAGCTACACCATTTCTGACCAAAGCCCATAGCTTGCATACCAAAAGTAAAAAGTTCCAGTCAACGCAGTCAAAAGCTTTTTCAAAGTCCAACTTGAGAATAATTCCTCATTCATTGTGAATTTTAAGCCTCATGCTATGGATGACTTCGTTGGCCAGCATGATGCTGTCTATAATTTGGCAACTCTTTACGAAGGCACTTTGGTGGTCGCTGATAACTTTGAAGATTACAGTCTTAAGTCTGTTAGTAAGAAGCTTCGCGAGAATTTTATAAAGAGAGTTGATAAGACTGATAGATCGGTACTCTCTAATAGTGGTTAGGATTGTAACCTTAGGAATCAGCACAATGAAGGATGAATTGAGGCCTTTGTCAAGTTTGCCATAGGACATAAAGTCTGAGATGAAATTGAAGAGTTCTGTTTTGATGAACGACCAGCAATGCTTGAAGAAGTTGAGGTTAAAACCGTCGAGCCCAAGGGCTTTTGATCCATCACAGCTCCATATGGTGGACTTAAGTTCCTTCATGGTGATAGTTGCCTCCAAATTATGAGTGTCATGATGGCTAATCCTTTTGAATTGAAAACCTTCAACACTCGGGCGAGGCCAGTGACAAGAGTTAAATAGGATTTTAAAATGTTCGAAGATGGCATTTCGTACCTCATCAGGTTTGAAGATCCATGAACCATTGACTGCAATTTCGGCTATGTAGTTACAACGAGAAAGAGCTTTGGCTTTACTTTGAAAAAATCAAGTATTTTTATCCCCTTCTCTAAGCCATTGGATTCTTGATTTTTTACGCCAAATTGATTCTCGTTGTTTAAAGGATGACCAAAGCTGTTGGATAGTTTGTTGTCTTGCTTTACATTTATCTTCTGTGAGGTCCCTTATATTACAAATAAAATCATATTCCTCCATTTTATCTTCCAGCCTTGTAATAGTGTCATCAATATTATCGAAAGAGGCTTTATTCCAATGTTTGAGATGAGACTTGAATCTACTGAGCTTGACTTTCAAACAGAATCCTAAGGATCCATTCATTACAGCGGAAGACCATTTTTGAGCAACCATGTCTTTGAATCCAGGCATTGAGAGCTAGCAGTCAAGAAATCGAAAAAGTCTAGGACCCCAATCAACCATTTTCAAAGATAAAAGAATGGGGCAATAATCCGATGATGATCGCTTGAGACTTTTTTTACTCAGTTCACGGAAGCAGAACAACCATTCCGATGAAAGCAAAAAACGGTCAAGGCGACTACGTTTTGAATCAGCACCGTACCATTTGAATTTCTTACCAACAAGAGGTAAATCAATAAGTTTGCAAGTATTAATAAAATTGTTAAAGTCATTAATACCTGTTTCAGAAGTGGTGCCTCACTGCTTTTCTTCGGCATATCTTACAGTGTTGAAATCGCCAACAACGCACCACGTAGAAGGGAGTTGATCTTTAAGTGAGAGAATTTTCTCCCATAAGATGTGTTTGTCATCTTCAGTGCAGGGAGCATAAACATTAATGATAGCACAGTGAATGTTGTGAGAGAGCCATGAGCCAGTATGGATAATGAAGTTCCCTCTAATGATCACCGAAGATTGAGAAAAAGATTTAATGTCCTAAATAGATAGAATGGCCCCTAATCTTCCTGTTGCTGGGATGAAGGACCATTCCACATCATCATTTCCCCACACACGTTCAATGAGTTTGTTCAAGATATCTGAAAGTTTCATGTCCTGGATAAAGAGAAATTCAACATTGTTGGAGCGAACCACCTTTTGTATGGTGTTTAGTTTATGGGTTCGGCCAAGTCCACGTATATTCCAAGAAAGCATGTGCATGATTAAACAAGTGAGGGAAGAAGATAAGAGGACTGAAAAAGCAGAGAGTTCTAGTAGATGAGGAAGCATGAAAGTTCGTAAAGCCCCAAGAGTGCCAAAGAGAACACCTTAGAGAAGAAGTTGCATTGACTAGAGAAAAGTCTCACATAAAAATAAAATAGCAAAGCAGTTGCTTGACCATAGCATTAAGTAAAGTTAATAGATGTGAGTCTGTGCAAAAAGGACAAAAGAGATTTGAAAAGGCTGAGTGCAATGAAAAAGGAATGAGATGTAAAAAAAGATTTTTGGAGAGAGATCACTACTCACTGTCTTAGAGTGTTGAGTTCTTCCATTTTCACCAAATTTCCCAATACCTCCTGGTCAGAGCATATTAATAAGTAGCCTAGTTGTTTGTCGATGTCCCAGGTTTTCTCTGATTCAATCATGATATTGGTATTCCTGTTCTTGAAATCACCGTCAGATAAGGAAGCGTTTGCAAATGGGCTTTCAGAATCGTGAATAATAACACGACTTTGCTGGGGAGTAGTCAAATTTTTTTTGTGCTTGGTAGATTTTTTACCCTCTTTTCTACCTATTCTCACAGCACCTTTGATAACTTCAGAAATATCTTCTAGAAAGGTGACTTTCTTTGCTGTTTTACGTAATGAAGATGCTGCAATTTGATCCTCCTCCTTAGAGTCACCACTAGCAAGATTTGTTGGGATGGGAACAGAGGAAAATTTCCTATTGGGATGTTTATGGCATGGGTCAAGAGATTTAGAGATTTAAGTCCATCCACTGAATTTGGATTGGAGCTATTGTTAACAGAAGTGTGCTGATAAGGGAATGCAACAATTTTGTTTAGCAACTCCTCGTGAAAGGTTCTTTGGTCTTCTATTTGGTTCATGTCCATTGGGGAAGAAGTAAAAGCCCCGTTAATATTGGGGTTAGAGGAATAAAGTTGTGGAATTTCAGGCTAACTTATTGGAGGCGATTGGTAGGGAATGTGGTCATTAGACCTGAAAAGTGTGGCACGTTGGTCTAGTGAGTGAGAGTGGAAACTTGGGTTGGGTTCCATTCTTGGCCCAATTAGCAGACGAGGGGAGGGCTCAGGTTGTGTTGTTGTCGGTGGAAAAAGTTCGGGAGAGAGATGAGTGATGCCCCCAAGGATGGTGGAGGGGACTACTTCGATTGAGATGGAGACCGACGATGAGCTGCTTAGGTCATCATCTTGTTGCCAACGTGACCATCATGGGTAATCCATAATGCAATCGGGAGCAAATTCTTAGACATAAAGACGATAAATCCTGTTCCCAATAGCAAGGTTGACATGTTCATCGATTCTTTCAGCTAAACCGGTGGTTATAAGCATGCTAGCACATTTGAAAGAGTTGAAAGTAGATGTTTCCTCACCCAGACATATGAAGGAACCCCATAATCTGCCGATGTTATCAAAGGCGGTCCTGCTCCAAGCATGGATAAGAACTCCAGAGAGCGAGAGCCAGCAGCGTCATTCTTTGATGGTGAGATTGTGTAACCATTCTTTAATCTCATCGAACCATTCAGCTAACCAATCCCATTCGTTGACCTTTGAAACTTCAAAAGACTAGGTATCGGGGAAGGCAGTAAAGTATTAGTAGCCTGAAAACCGTTTAACCTCATAACCCTTCCTTCCTTTTTCCCCAATCATCTTAGAGATTGCCTCCGGCTCTTGATGTACTCTACATTTACCCACCACACAACCACCAAGCCAGTGAAGAACTTCGTTCTCAACATGGCCTGTACATAATTTGAAAGAGTCGATAGGCGGCGATGGAGGAAGTGCATCTTCAGATGGTGGTTGTTAACCCAGGAAAGCTTGAAGATAAGATCTGGTAGTCTCCTTTCTTCTTGAGATTTTTGCTTTGTTTTGATGGTTAATTATTGTCTATGCTTGAGTAATCTGGTTCATAAAAGGTGGTTGGGGTCTAGTGATTTAGGTTTGGGGATAACTGTTTTGGTTTCTTGCAGGTTGGGTTATGGGTTTCCTATTGTGATTTTGGTGATTTCGGTTTCTGTTTGGTCTTTGGATCTAGTTTTTTCTGTCAAAATTAAGGGCTAATCTAAGGTTGAAGAACTAGGAACCATTTAAGTTTTGAATGGTTCTTCTCGCATCCTCCATTATGAAGCATTGAACAGACCCGTATTTTCTGTCATAGCTTGGTTGCCTTGGAGGGATTGAAACTTTAGCAACCCTCCCATAGTGGTGACAGATGGTTTTGAGCCATTGGTTTATGATGTGGAGAGGGAGATTTGCAATGTGAACTGTGGTGCCCCTATTTTACCGACCGTCGTGTCTGGAGACAAAGTCTCTATTCTGCCGGCAGTTTCTGTTCATGACTGCCCAGCCGTCATACTAGCTGTTGCAATTTCTAGGTGCTAAATCTGGCTCCTTTTTGATAATTAAAACAAGAAAACTATCTTGCACACGACATGCTTCCACTTTATACTAACTTTAGAGGTTTACTCATTCAAAGTGTTTGAAAGAGCAGATTTTCTTTGGGCGGTCGAGAAAAAATAAGCTCAACATTTTTACAAAGGATAAAAGTGAAATACTAGTGTAAAGAGAAGGATTTTGGTCTTCTAAGCTCAAAATCACTTTGAATAGCTTCTTTATATGATTTTTTTAATTATTGGAGAGGATTTAAATACTTGAAAAATCACTTCTGGCCGTTGGAGACAGAAACTAGTTGTTTTTGGCCATTATTTTATCTTTTTCTGCTTAAATTCAAATTTTCTAACAATGAGCTTTTAACTAGTTAACTATATTTCTTAGTCGATTAAGTCTTCTTTATCTCGCAGTTTGCTTTACTCTATTAATCGGTTAAGAAAGACTTTAGCCGATTAAGAGCTTACTGTTTCTAGAGTAACCAACTTCACCAACTTTTTTTTGTTTAATTACTTCTTCTCTCAACTTGGTGACATTGATATTCCATTTCCCTAAAACAATCATGAGATATGTTAGTCATCTAAGACTTCTTGAATTGTTTTTCACAAATTTGACTACTTTCATTTTGGAGCTTCACTTTTAGGTTTCAGTTAACTAACTCTTTTGGTTAACCAACTAAAAAGCTTTTATTTGTATCTAGGATCCAGTTAACTGATTAAATCTTATGTTAACTAGTTAAGACCTATCTGTCTGTCCTTAATGTAGCATCTAGAATTACTTTAATTGATTAAGAATTTGTGTTAATCAGTTAAGACTAACCTATCTTCATTAAAGCTCTTTTTCTTTGCTTGTTTAACCAATTAACCTATCTTGCAACTGAGCAAGTATTTTGACTTGCTTTCAAATATCAAATATATTAATGAATTTAAGCTTTCTCTTACATGCTTAAATAATATAATTAGACATTAATGAATGAGAATGTTTTATTATCATAAAAAACACATGGAGTCAACATTCTCTCTTTTAGTTTTTATGATGACAAAACACTCCTAGATTAAGTATGTAATGTCTATGTTCAATAGGAATGCTTTAAATCTTTGTGCATAATGAGTTGCTCTCCCTTATTTAATACATCTAGTTTTCTTTAAAGATTTGCAATAAAATATTTATAATATCCACAATAGCTAAATAAGATATACAATATCCACAGTAGTTAAGCAAGATATATTGAATATCCATAATAACTAGTATATAATATTTAACAAAACTATAATGAAGTATTACACAAATAAATTAAACATGAAGACCTATCAAATTCTATTTAACTTAGTCTTCCTTCTCAATTTTTTTGTCATCATTTAAGAAAAAAAATTCAAAACTCCCCCTTAATGAGTGCATCTAGATTTTCCTTTAATCTTTAAGTTAAACTTTAATGAATGGGAATCATAAGCACTTGTACACCTAAGTCATACAAGCTTATAGATATAGTTTAATAACTTTAAGAGTCAGGTTTGTAACTATGTAAGAACAATGTATGAAAGTTAAATCATTTCAAAAACTTGTCAAGGATCACTCAAGCAGATTTTCTCATTTTATCATAATCAAAACTATAATAATTTTAAATCTAACATAATTAACGACTAAGAAAAGGAAGTGTCACTACAAGTATCAAGAATAAGACTTGAATTTTTAAGGAAGGAGAGTAGTTTAGGTTTTGACTTTTTTTAATAAAATTTTAATTTGTCTTTCTATGTAGTATTTAAATATTAATATATAAATTAAGTTTTGATAAATTAATTTGGAATCTTTGATCTCCACCTCTTACAAAATAAAAAAAAATTAGTGGGTTCGTTAGTATTATTAACTACATAAAACTCTAACAACATGCTTGGTTGAGAAATAGCTATTCCATTCCCTCTAGTCCTAATTCTTCTTTAACACCTTATTTGGTTGAAAGAAATGACCATTCCTTAGGATGGCCATTTAGGAAGATGGTTGAATAGCTAATACCAAGGCCTTCTTGATATTGATTATTCCAAGAGGTAAGGAATATAGTAAAAATATTAATGGACAAAAATATCCTTAATTAATTTTAAGAATTACCATACTATATAAAATGAAATTTATTTATTTATGTTTTACAACATAGAAAATCCAAATTACAGCCAAAAGTAATTGCAATAGTGGGTGTAAAAAAAGTTTAACCCCCTTTTTTTAAAAGTTACTTTTCATTAATAGGAAATTGATCTGTACAAGATTAGAAGTGAAACAAAAAGAAGCTTCATAACTAGGACAAAAAAGGAAGCAATCTGTTTCCATCAACTTAGCTACTGACAAACGATCATCTATACAAAAATCATTAAATGAAAACGACAATTTTAACTTACAAGTGAGCCAAGCAACAATATCAAATACGATTAAAAGGATATCAGATATGATCAAAGGGTTATTAGAGTATTTATTAGTCAATATCAATTTTCTCTTACAGTATGAGAATACTACACCAGTATTTCTTAATGCATTAAGAAAAGATAGAGATGAGGTTCAAAGAGACATTAATTTTAAGAAAAAGCAAGTAACACTGGAGTTATGTTCTATTTTCATTCTTTATCAAACTTCTTTTTTATTTTTCGAAGAAAAAAAAGATTTAAGCTCAACTCATTAGATAAGAGAGTTACTTAAAACAAGAACAAAATGAGCTTGGTTTTCATCCAGAATTACAATATTTTATTGGAACTAAATAAAATATAGGGTCAGATTGAAACTAGGAAAAGAATTACCAAAGTCATTAATATAGGGTCACAAGCATAATAATAAAGTTAAATGAATAAAAATGGAGGTTAGATAGAAATCTTAATTCAAATCTTCGTACTCTCTTTTACCATATATATATATATATATATTATTTTAAAGTTTATATGTCTGAATATTAAATTTAATAGTAAATAAAATGCATCTACTTATTGAAAAAATTGAGTAAAAATCTTCCTTTCCCTAATAAAACAAAGTAGCAAGTTTGTGCTTGATGAAAAAAATTCACGTCCTAATTAATTTCAGTAAAATAAAAAACAAATAAATTAATTAATTATCACAATCATGCATGTATACTTGAATAAATCTTGAGAATTAAACTGGTATACTAATGATATTGGAGCATTCAGCTCTCCTCCATTTTTATATACATTACTTTTCAATATATTTTAATCATCATTTATATCTATGAGTTCACAAGTCAAATATTAAATCTTATATGAATAGTAATTAAAAGTATAATAATAATAAAAAGTCAGAATTAGAAAAATAAATAAATAAAAAATACAAGGAAACCAAAACCCTACATCAGGGATAAGGGAGTAGAACATTATAAGTAATGGTTTCCATATTCCACATCTCAATATTTACATTTGAGGCACTTCCATGCTCTCGGTGGTAGCATCAAGGGTCGACGTCGTAGGCTCGTCTTCCCAATTGTAACTTGCAAACTCCTCGGATGACCTTTCAGAAGAAAATTCAAAAGGTTGTGGAGGTAGTTCAAGTACTTCAAGCTCACCTTCAAGCATCTCTAAGACCTTACTTATCGAAGGACGATCAGCAGGCCTCATTTGTATGCACCAAAAAGCAACTATGACCATCTTCCTTACAATTTTCTTTTCACTTTCAGTGGCATCTCCTAACTCTACATCCTCCCCTTTCTGAAATCGGTTGTAAATCAATGTTGGGAAATATATTTGACTAGATTGCTCAGCAAATGCATTCAAATTCCTCCTCTTTCCCACCATTTCCAGTAACAACATTCCAAAGCTATAAACGTCAGCCTTGTGTGAGATACTCCCAATATTCTTGTAAAACAATTCCGGAGCAATATATCCTAAAGTACCTCGTGCAGCAGTGAGAGACACAATACTTTGATCTACTGCATACAATTTTGCTAGGCCAAAATCTGAAATTTTCGGAATGAAGTTGTTATCTAGAAGAATGTTATGTGGTTTAATGTCAAAATGTAAAATTTGCATTTCACATCCTTGATGCAAGTATTCTATTCCTCGAACCACTCCAATTGCAATCTCAAATATTTTTTCCCAACATAAAGTGGTATCCTTTTCTCTTGAAAATATGATTTTATCCAAAGAACCATTTGGCATAAAATCATAAACAAGCGCTTGTTTTGATCCTTCTACACAAAAACCAATAAGTTGTACCACATTAACATGATGAATCCTTCCAATGGTAGCAACTTCATTGATGAAATCTTGTCCATGTGATTTTGACATTTCTAACAATTTTACTGCAACAAGATGCCCGCTTTGAAGTGTTCCTTTGAAAACTGAACCATAACCACCTTGTCCTAATTTATCCTTAAAACATTTTGTCATTCTCTTTATTTCTGAATAAGAATACCTGATAGGCTTTAAATTATTTTGCATTTGAAGAAACTCTTCAATTGTATCATCCATAGACAAATGTCTCCTTCGAAACTTCACTAGCACAGCTACAGCCAAGCATACAACCCCCAGTAGAGTTCTAATAGCAATAAGTACTCCTGTGCAAGAGAATTATTAATAGGAAGACATCAGCATAAATACACAAGACAATGAACTCTATATTGTTTTAACAGGGAACAAAGGTAGCACCGCTGTGTTAGAATTGAATTAATCAATAGCTAGAGTATGATTTTTATCTTCTTGATTATCACAAATAGTAGAATATTTATTTTCCAACAATGAGAACACAATTTTTTTACATAGCTAAATAGGATAAAAAGAGCTTTAATGATGTACAAGTCATATTGACTATCTGTTTGCACTAATTAAAAATATGTAACGTTATTAATTAGTTGTCTCCGAGGCGATAACTTAGAGATTAAAACTTAACACTTCATCTTGGGAGTCTTGATTCCCATTTTAAAACAAGTGGAAAGAGATTTAGCAGATGTGATAACTCAAAATAGCTAAATATCGGAAACTTCACCATTCAATTTAAATTGTTTTTTTACTTAATTCGAACATTTTAATGTGACACATAATTGTGTAATGGAAAGATTTAAACAAAAAGAAAAGAAAATGTCATCATTCATGATATGAGCTCTTTGATTATTAGCATTATTTTTTTTAGAATAATACTTATTTTACCTAATGAAAATTATTTTTATTAATCTCTATATATCCATCAGAGGTGTGAGGGATATTCGTATCTCGTAACTTTGCTTATCATGCCCAAATCCATTAAAGCTTAATCAAGTCAAGAGTAAAAGCGATTCTCTCACCTGTGGTTAGAAATAAAGCATCTTCGATTCCTGTTAAAAAGGGGTAAAGATTAGTTTAAAACAAGGAATAAGAAATAAGCAAAGGCCACGAACAAATTATAGATGAAATGAAAAACATACTTGTATAAAATTCTTGAGTGAAACGTAACGGTGAAAGGCCAAAGGTAAAAAACAGTCGCAATTTGTAAAGACAGTCTAAAATGATAAGCTTCGACCACCAAAATCTGTGTCAGGAATAATAAATTATGTGAGAAATACATTGAAAACAACCACTTCAAAGATTTTTTAAAAATATTCTCATTTTAGGATCTAATATTACCAATTATTTCAGTTTAAGATCAAATTTTTTATTCACTTTTTTAAATTAATCTATTTTATTCATTTAAAAAAATAATAAATAGTTAATAATTACTATTAATGAAATAATTGTTTTTCTTGTGAGAATAACCTTTAACAAATATAGAAATATAAATTTGTGTAGTTAGTTCTTACGGAGCAGCATATAGTTTGCAAAGTTCAATTTGAAAATTTTTTGATTAACTTGTAGAATTTTGGTTTTTCACAAGTCAAATCTAATCAAATAAAAAGTTTCTTTTTTAAATCAAACTGACTCAAATCAAATTTCATGGATTTGATTTGAACCGTTAAGTTCTTTGATTTTTTTTTAACAAATGTTCTATATTATTAAGTAAATTTAAAAATAAAATAAATATTTCATTTTATGAAAACCAAAAAGTATATACTAAAAAAAAAACCATTCTTTTAGATTTGGATAATTTCAAATTTTCAACCAATAGATAAAAATCCAACCGAATGGAATACATATAATTTAGTAACCAAATTGGATGGAATAAAAAAACTGAATGGAACGCAATTTCCCATTTTCTCAAAATTTTTGCTTAGTTCTAATTCTATAGGATGCTAATTAAAAACTCTTTCACTATTTTATTTAAATGGATAAAATTTTAAAAAATTGCATTTTAGTTTAAAAAAATTGAATTGTGAAATAAAATATTTGATAAAAATTAGATACAAAATGAGCATTTAACCATATTTTTCTACGTAGAGAAAAGGGAATTTGATCCTACTTGATCCAAAGATGCGACTTGCAAAAGTATCCTATACTAGTATTAAACAGATAATGTGATGTTTTTAATTTAAATTGTCAAATAATAGTAATTTTTTATACTAGTAACTTAAACTATTGTTCTTTAAAAAAAGGAGGTGTTATGCTCGAAATTCTTACATGTATCTTAGTGTAATTTTGTTGCGATAGTCAGTAAAATGTACGCAATGCAACGGCACGTCATAACCCATCAGGAACTTCTGGTGAATATCGAAAATAGAGAGACCGGTGATATTAGGAGACCGAAACCAAAATGGTCGCGGAGCCTGGACTTCAATGGTGCAGGGTTCAAGGAAACCAGTAGCGTTGAGCGTCTTTCTGCTAAATAAAGCATAAAGGTGCGGAGAGAAGGAGGCGTTGGCGCAAGGAGAGGCATCGATGTAGAGCGAGGAGTTGATGCGAACTTGGCAACTTAAAAAGTAAATAAAACTATATCCGCAGGGAAAGGATTTGGGAAGAATGGAGCATTCATCACTATTCAGACTCCCATCCACCAATCGAAGGGTGTGATTATAAAAGATGTCTAGGACATAGAATCTTCCATAATCAACATCGTCCAAAATGGTGCGATTATTGTCACATACCAGTTCATTCTCGCCACACTCGGGAGAGTCGCCCTTGAATCTGAAAGGGCTACGGATGTTTAAAGCTCCACAAGAGCGCTTGCAATCGTGGGTGCCTCCTCGTCTTGCAGCATCAACAGTATCAAGGAGGTGAGTCAAAGCAAGGGCAAGGAGGCCCAATATTGCAAGCTTTGCCCTTAACATATTAGAAAAGAGTGAGACGAGGGGAGGGTATGAATTTTGATGCAATGAAGAAGAGAAGAACGCTAGCCGCACAGAATGAGGGAGGCTCTGGTATAATACACGCGTTTTTCCAACATGTCGCTAAATTGCAAAAAATTATGTAAGATAAAGTGAAACATGTGAACATGACATTTAACTTGTTAGGTTTTTTTTTATAAAAAAGAATTACCTAAGTGGAACGCATGCATTAGTTTATTTAACTTGTCAGCTTTACAGCACAAGCATTCAAATATTTTTTTTAAAAAGGCACAAAAATTTTACAAAATATACAAGGCTATCAACACCGGTAGAAGAAACTGTTGAAAAGTAAGGTTGGAGAAAGGCTCTTAGAGCAAAAACGCTGTCGTTCTTGACTAAAGATGTTGGCTGCCTAAGACACTAGTTCATTGCGTCGTTTTATATTTATAGTTTGGTATATTCAAAACGGCCTTGGTCATGTCAATTTATTTTGCTTCATGTTTGCTAGTCCTGTACGCACCACCATGGTGCCGTTTTAGTCTGTTTTCTTGTTTCTGGCGTAAGACTCAACGGTTGCAAGCAACAGAAAGAAAGACCTCAAGGCAACCCCCATAGAACACCCAAAACACACAAGAGAGGAATGGTAGTTGCACCAAATGAGAAATGCTTTGATTAATCAACGTGTTAAATTGTAAAAAATTGTGAGATAAAGTGAATCATGTGAACATGACACCTAACTTGTTAGGGTTTTTATAAAAAAAGTTATCCAAGTGAACATGTGCATGCATTTCTTTGTTTAACTTGTCAGGTTTACAGCGCAGGGCATTCACATTGTCCAGCTTACTTTATTAAATTAATTTAATAAGTGGAACATTCTTACAAGAATACATGCACTGGCCAAAAGACAATTCACACTTAACTGTCAGTCATTGCACTCCCACGGCTCACCAACATTGACTCACCGTCTCTGTTTTATTATTGATACCAGCACACATTCACATTGTGCCACTTACTTTACTACTATGTCAAAACAAATATCTTTATCTTTAACCCATAAAGATTTGATTTTAATATTTCATGCTATATATTATTTAACATTCCACTTACGCATGGTTTGATTTCACTTTTAAATTTGTTCAATAATTATATGTCTAATTAGAAAATACAAATAATTAAAATAAATATATTGAAAATCTAACATGACTCAAATGTTTATTATATTTTGAGTCACGTAAGATAAAATATAAATATTTTAACTAACATATATATAGTTTTCATGTGGACATATATTTTTGTTCTCACTAACATTAGTTTGATAATTTTACTTAATAAAATTATAAAATCATTTTGATATAATACTTGAAAAAGTCCCTAACCTATTAAAAAATTTCCAAATAAATTCTTATTTTTTTATTATATTCATTTCAGTTTTTATATTTTTATTTTAGATCAAATAGACTCTAATTACTAACGGTTGATTAATTATTATTAACTAAAATACCATTTGTTATTTTTATATCCACATGATACGGATGTACAGAGCAAAAATGTCACATCTACTTGCCATTTCATCATATTTTATTACATATCAATATATCATGTTAATGTTATATAGTATAGAAGAAAAAGATATATTTTAATTAGCAATAGTTAATCAATTATTAATTATAAAGATTTGATTCAACACAATTAAAGAATAAAAATTTATTTAAATTTTTGTAAATTGGTTTTTTCGTTATTGTAAATTATTTTAAGTATGAACAAGTAAATTGCTTTTGAATTAAAGATATTTTAATAATTTTATTAAAAAAATTAATAATGTAACCCTTAGGAAGAATAGAAAGACACCAAAGTTGGGAAAAGCACAAAGAGAAAAGTTACATAGGAACCCGTCCCCAAGCCTCCCAAGGTCTCCAAAACGTTGAATCTGTGGGTGTAACTTGTAAGTATGCTCTCCACCGGTCTCTGCAAGCACTGTAACGCCACCATCAGTTTCCTTTTCGCCTTCCTCTTGGTTCCGAACGTTGCAGATGCTGAAGCAGCTCACGACATGTGCAAGGTGACAAAGTGCAACCGCCATGGCCCGCCTGTCCGATTTCCCTTCTGGTTGAAAGACAAGCAGTCGCCCCACTGTGGCTTTCCTCATCCTGGCTTTGAACTCGCCTGCACCAAATATGGGAAAACCGTGCTTCACCTGCCATGGTCGGTGGAGATGTTCGTTGAGGATATAGATTACAAAACACAAAGCATTTTCGTATCTGATCCAGAAGGTTGCCTCAACAGGCAGCTACCACATCTCGATCTCAATTTCTCTGCATCTCCCTTCAATGGCTTCTTCGGACTACCAGATAGCTACACCTTGTTCAACTGTGCAAAAGACCCGCGGGAAGATTATTTATATTATGGAAATTGCGCTGGCTACATTAATGGCTTTCAAATTAGAGCTGTTTCTCCTTCTTCCATGGGGGATCAATATAGCCTGATAAAGTGCCGAAAGGTTGTTGACATCTCAGCAGTTCCTTTTGAACTAATTAATACACCCAATCTTAACTTAAGCTGGTCCAAACCGATATGCTTTAGCTGTGAAGAAGAAGGCAAGAGTTGTAGATTAAAGAATAATACACAGGGTCAAACAGAGTGTTATGGCAACCCCAAAAACGGTATATGCCTTCAACTTAAATTACTTGTTTCTTTTCTTATATTACTTTTATCGATTAATAAATTGTTCAAAACTAAATTAATGGCATAAATAAAATCAGTTTCATATAAAAAGAGAACGAGTAACTTAAGTTAACATCACTTTGTAAAATTCTTTATAAATGTGAAATTATATATGTAATTTTTATTCTAAATAAATTACAATTTTGATTTTTAATATTCATGAATATAATTTTTTGATCTAAACATGTTATTTTACTAGTTTAGGAACCAAATGTTAAGCTTCAATATATAATTATCCCACCCAAACTAGCACTTAAATTTTTACACGATTTGATATAAAAGAAAAATAAATAAAATAAACAAAATGTTACTACATGCTACAATTACATATAATCACAAATTCAATGATATCTAAGCCTAAATACTGTAAGATGTTTAGTAGGATTTAAAGTTTCTGGTTCAATGAGTTGAAATGAGTCTCCATAAAATAACACTTATTTTTGACTACTCATAATAAGAATCTTGATATTCTTATGTAACATTCTTAATACATGATCCTTGATATATGATATTTTAAATTTTGAGATTTTCTTATTGTATCTTATGGTTGCTTGTTACATTTTCACTAAATCAAAAATATTCTTTGCCATTATAAATTATTTTTGCTAATACCGAAAACGGGATTTTTGTAAGCAAGCAATTACTAAATTAAGAGTGACATTTTCTCCATCTAACCTTCCTTGACCCTATTCTTTAAGCATACACCTTCTACTCACCTAGAAGCACCCTCTTCATTTCCTGTAGCATCTTCTTAGAGTTTTATGCTTTTATGTCATTCATCTTACAATTCCTTCGCAGCTTCTTGTTTTTGTGTGTGGGTATAAAAATTCAAAAAATGAAAAAAAAAAAAACACTTCAAGGCCTACTTTTAAGTTTTTTTCATCCACACCAATTACAGCGTGCAACGACTTTCAATCGAATAGCTTTATAATACAATGAATTTTTGGTTTGATTTCACATTGTATTATGAAATCATCACTATACACGTCTTTAAGAGAGACAGAATAATCTTTCTTAAATAAGATTTTCACTTTAAAATTTTCTGTTAATCAATTAGTCTAAGTTTTAGTCAATTAACCTGGTTTTGGAATATTTAAGTTCGTATTTGCATCATATTAATCCACTCACATAAAAATTCAATTTACTAAACTTGGTAATTTTTTACTTAATTGACTATTTTATCAAATTTAATTGATAAATCTTTTTGGTTCTTTTTTTCACTTTATTTTGAAAATATTCCAACACCACTTGAGGCTAAAACTTAAAGCTCTTTAAGATTGCTCACTCCTCTTTTCTGTCTGTCTCTCTTCCCATTACATGGTTATAGTGTAACACTGTTGCACATACATTTACAAAGAAACCCTCCATGCTTGTACCATAGGTACAATTGAATTGATGTTTGAAAAACATAACATGCTGATACATTTCCAACATTTTACAGGCCATCCTTATACAAAGCTAAAGCGAATAGTCGCAGGTATGGAATTGTTTTTTGTTACATATGATTTTCGACTTTGTTTATAACCTAAGGTAATCACTTCTTATCTCAAGATTAAAACTAAACATATGCTGAGTTGGAGCATATTTTTTCAGGTGTAATCCCAACTTCGTTTCTTCTTGCACTGATTGTTATTGCCCTTTACAAGTTGTACCATTTACACAAAACAAAGGAAGAAAGCCAACTCAAGATTGAAGAGTTTTTGGAAGATTATAGATCTCTTAAGCCCTCAAGATACTCTTACACTGATATTAAGAGAATAACAAATCAATTCAAGGAGAAACTTGGAGAAGGAGGTTATGGAACTGTGTTCAAAGGAAGACTTTCCACTGATGTTTTGGTAGCTGTTAAGGTCCTCAACAATTTCAAAGGAAATGGTGAAGAGTTCATCAACGAAGTGGGCTCAATGAGTAGAATCCACCATGTCAATGTAGCTCGCTTGGTTGGATTTTGCGCTGATGGATATAAACGAGCTCTTGTTTACGAGTATTTGCCCAATGAGTCATTGGAGAAGTTCATATTTTCTGCCAAGGGTGAGGGTCATTTCCTTGGTTGGGATAAGCTTCAAGATATTGCTCTGGGCATAGCCAAAGGGATTGAATACCTTCATCAAGGTTGCGAGCAACGAATCCTCCATTTTGACATCAAACCTCACAATATTTTGTTAGACCACAACTTCACCCCTAAGATCTCTGACTTTGGTCTAGCTAAGTTGTGTTCCAAGGAGCAAAGTGCTGTTTCCATGACAGCCGCCAGAGGAACCATGGGCTACATAGCACCTGAGGTATTATCTAGGAACTTTGGAAATGTTTCATATAAATCAGATGTTTATAGTTTTGGAATGCTACTACTTGAAATGGTTGGAGGGAGAAAAAACATTGATGTTACAGTGGAGAATACAAGTCAGGTGTACTTCCCAGAATGGGTGTACAATCATTTGGACAAAGGAGAAGAGTTAGGAATAAGAATTGAGGATGAAAGGCAATCCCTGGTAGCAAGAAAGCTATCAATTGTTGGATTGTGGTGCATTCAATGGTTTCCAGTAGATCGTCCTTCGATGAAAGCTGTGATTCAAATGTTGGAAGGTGAGGCAAACAGTCTCACTATGCCGCCAAATCCTTTTGCTTCCACCGATCATATGAAGCTGGGTGGTTCCAAGTATAAAAAACCTGTTGGTACAGAGCTAGCAATTATTGCCGAGTAGACATAATTCAGCTGGCAGCACTAAGTCTAGAAAAGAGTTAACCATACATGGCTAATGAAGCAAACTAGACAGATGCACATGCATTCTATCATCACAATTGCGAGTTCATTCACTTAAATAAATTTGCTGTGTTTGTACTAAACATTGCTAAGGGCATATAAACACTTCCTATGTCTTTCTTCTATAAAACTTTCTCTTTCAAACATTTTCTTCACTATCTGACTCGATTATTATCAACTTAAGTAAATAATTATAAACTTAATTTGACCTCAAATGAAAATTGTAAATACATCAATAGTTTTATATTTTATTTGTAGACAATTATATATGTACATTATATTTAACTTAATTTTTAAAATTTTTTGGTATTGATTAAGTTTTTTAGTAGATGAGTCAAGTACTGAAGTAGCCGAATTTGGCTTAACTCATTAATCAAACTCAGCACTATTGAATCAGATTCAAATATTCATAAAGCCATTCTCATAAGAGTTAGATTTTTAATTTATATATTTGTTCAAAAAAATTTTTTCAATTAGTATTCAGTAGATAATTGAATTCTATTGTGTAGAACATCTATTGATATCACAAAAACAACACAACTTTTGTCACACACTAAAAATTTCTGTGAAGTTTTGGAAATACAATGTTTTATAGCCATGGAAAGTCTATAGCCATCAAGCCCCAAGAGAAGAAGAAGAAGATGGAAATGCCAATTTTGGTTAGGCAAGTAAAATTTTTTTTTAGAAAAGAAAACATAAAAGTTTATTTGATTTAAAATAAAAATATAAAAATAAAAATTTATTTAAATTTTTTTAAGTATTATGCTTAGTATTTAATATAATATATAATTATTAGAAAAATTCAAAAACAAACTTCTTCGGTAGACTATCAATAAATTCATAAATGAAACATTGAAATCAAACCCTTGCATCAATTGAGATAAAAAGGTTGAGACATTAGTAATTCTTTATAATTATTAAAGAACATTAATTTTTCACATATTAATAAAGTAAGTCGCACAGTGTGAATGCGAATATTGAATCAGTGAGTCAACCATGAGAATGCTTGACTGAGATTGCCATTTGTTTTGGTGCAATTCATATCTTGACTTTATCTTTTTAAAAGAGAAAAAGAAAAAAGAGGTTTTTCTTTGTAAACGCAAGTGCCCAACAACTTCTCTATGACTTTTCCTAAGCTTGGTGCCTTTCTATTTTGGTAAGAGTTAGACTATTAATTTTGGGATTACATTCGATGCACAACGTGTAGTTTTTACGTAAAAACGTGTTATTTCATTAATAAAGTAAAATCAATAATTTTTAAAATTTAATAATAAATATATAAAATTTTACTATTTAATGAATAAAAAACAAAATATTTTTTTTTCTCAAGAAAATCATTTTTATTTCTTTCAAATGTGCTAATGGGATAGGTAGCACATTTTAGTGACTTGATAACGTGTAATTTATTTATTTTGCATAATAAAATTATTAAAATATTATAAATTCAAAAGCAGTTAAGTTGTATATATTTAAAATATTTGTCATAATATTTAAAAAAAATCTTCTAACTATTGAGAAAGTTTCAAATAAATTCTTTTATTACGTTTAATCAAAATTTTTTAATTTTTATTTTAAACCAAATAAATCTTTATAACTAATAATTGAATAATTGTCATTAGTTAAAATGTCACTACATGACATTAATATGATACGCTGATATATCATAATAGATAATGATGAAACATGATCATATGACATTTTCACTTTTCACGTCATATTTTTTAAAAATATATTTAATATAAAAAATACGTTGAAGTTTATTTTTATTTGCAAAGATGATCTGTTAAAGACATCAATATTGAGACATTAGTATTTTTAAAAATTTTTATATGTATTAAATTTTTTTTTTCACATATTAATTACTTTAATAAAGCGGCACAGCGTGTCAGCCACTAGACATGGCCGGTTGTTTCCGGTGCAATTCACTTTACTTTATCTATCTCAGATAATTTTTTTGTAAGAGAAAAAGAAATACAAAATGCCAGTACCACGCACCACACAAAAGCACAGAGGAGCAAAAGTAAAGTACTTAAAGAAATTAAAAGATAGGGAAGAATAGATGGATTTATAAAAAAAAAAAAAAAAACGTGACAAGTTGGCATCATCCTGTCAAGAGTTTGCCCATTTCAACTTGAAAAACATAAGATTAGAGCATTTCTCATTCTCTGCTACTAATAGCTTTAATCTTCTCTTCTTCATCTCATCTCACTCTTTGTAATATGTCAATAAGGGCAAAACTTGCAATTTTGGGCCTCCTTGCCCTTGCTAATGCTGTTAATGCTGCAAGACGTGTCACCACGCCCTGCAAACCCTCTTCCTGCGGAGCTTTAACCAACATCAGCAGCCCTTTCAGATTAAAAGGCGACCCTCCCGAGTGTGGCGACTATGAACTAGTCTGTGAAAATAATCGCACCATTTTGCACGATCCTGATTATGGAAGTTTCTATGTTCAAGACATCTTTTATGATGACTTGTTTCCTATAATTCGATTGGTGGATGGAAGTCTGAAGAGTGATGAATGCTCCATTCTTCCCAAATCCTTTCCATGCGGATCTGATTATATGTATTATTTAAGTTGCAAAGTGGCCATCAACTCTTCACTCTACGTAGATGCCTCTCCTTGCGCCAACGCCTCCTTCTCTCCGCACCCTTTCTTTTATGCTCTAGTTGGCGGAGACACACTCAACGCTACTGGTTTCCATGAATCCTGCACCATAGAAGTCCAGGTTCCGCGACCCTTTCAGCTTCAGTCCTCCAATATCACCGGTCTCTCTATTTTCGATATTCACCGGATGTTTCTCATGGGTTATGACGTGCCGTGGCATTGTGCACCTTATGCTGGTTATTTTGATTCCAGCAACGAAATTACACTTGGAAAGATGTAAGATTAACTTGGAGCATTAACACTCTCCCCTTCCCCCCTTCTTCCCCTTTTGTTTTGAGGACATTTGTCTAAGTTAATAGTATCAAAAGTAGTACTATTTGATAATTTATGTATTTAATAGTAGACTAGGACACTTCTATAAGTAGCAACTTAGTATCAAGTAAAACCAAATTCCATTCTCTCTACGCTGGGAAAAAATGGCTGTAAGCTCCTTTTATATCTAACATTTATTAAATTTTTAATTTTTCAATTTTTGAAAAACTAGAATGCTACAAGTTAAAGTTGATCTCAATAGTAACCGTTATTTTTATTAATTTTAATTTCTAACAATATTTCATCAGCCTTTTTAAAAAATAAATAAAATATTAAATATTAAAAATGAAGAATTTAATAAATATTAAATCCTAAAAGGAATAATTACTTTATTTTTGTTACAAAATGTTATAATTAATCTTTGAACTGAATGTCTTGATGCATTTTCTCACATAATCTTTCATTCTTGATGTAGATTTTGGTGGTTGGTTCGTATCATTCCATATTGTGTTAAATTTTTACAAACATTTTATTCCCTCGGCAATTTTCCGATTCCAGCTCGCTCACATACCTTTGCAGTGAACAATGCAGTTATCCCTACTGCTACTATTATCGGTATGTTTTTCATTTCATCTGTAATTTGTTGGTGGCCTTTGGTTAGTTCTTATTTCTCACTTTAAAATAATCTTTACTCCCTGTTTAACAGTTATTGATCGTGATTTCTTCATAACCGTGGTTATATTCGAAATCATCACAGGTGAGATAATCGCTTTTACCGCTTGCTTAAGTATTTTTGAAAAATGATTTATTTATTAAGCCAATAATTAGAATGTTACATCAAGTCTTAAATCAGAGAAGTAAAAGATTCCTCATGACTTAAGGAAATTAGCTTTGGTGAAATAGAGGCTGTGTGCACTTACAAAAGGAAAGAGCATGCATGATTTTTTTTTTAAAAAAAAAACAATAAAATTCGAAGCTCTTTTCCCAAATCTTCAAAAAGAAAAAACCCACTTACAAAAGAGAGGGACTGCTAAAAGAACAATACAACAACTTTTGCTAAAGGGTTCGGTCTCAAAATCTATGCATATCTTAGCTCCTAAACTAATACAACAAGAGCAAATGAGTAAGATCTCCTCAGACCAAGTTGTCAATATAAATAGAAAAAAGAAGATAAAAAAAAACTTTATTTTTTTTTAATTTTACACAATGGTAATAAGTGGTTCTTGTCTTTCGTAAATCCATTTTAAAGAATGGAGTTTTGTTTCAGTGTTGAATTATAGAAAAGAGGGTAAGGTAAAGTAAAAATAAAAAGATAAAAAAAAAAAGAAGTATGGAGAAACTTAAGAATTAAGTTAAAGTTAAATAAGACTTGTGGCATGATTTTATTATTTTATTATTTTTATTAATTATTAAATAAATAATAATTTAGAAGAGTTCATTAAAATATATACATATATATAATAAATTTAAAAATATATATAATAAATAAAAAATTTTAAAACTTTTAAGGAGAAACGACCCTCCGCTCTGCATGCCTCTTGCTGTCTCCTAAAATATCACCACAAACATAAGACTAATTTTAATCATCCCTAAACCAATTATCCAAAGCACCATTAATCAAGAATCATAGAAACAAAGAACCTCCATTACCCTGAACCTCTTACCTTTTTGCTGCTACTGTATTTTTAACCTCCTTTATTTCACTGAACCTTTCCACAATTTTCTACCCACTGCCTCCCCTACCCTCCTATACCCATAAATCTCCCTATCTACCAGCATTCTTCAGCTGTAGCTCTTATTATTAACCCGTTCTTATGCCTCAAATCACTATCTGTTAGTGAACCATTGACGATTATTTCCTTCTCTCCCTTGTCCTTCTCTGCTATATTACTACTCATCACTCTTTCCTCCCCTTCATCTTCAAGATATTTTTCTAACATCTCAGATGGTATCTGTTACACTGCTTTGGCCACAACACTTCTCTTCTATCTCTCCATTCCCTCCAGGTTAACGACTCCTTTGCATTCTTTTTCTCTTTCTGTGTTCCTCCCACCAAATGGTTCGTCTGTGTCACTTCTTCCATGACTTTGTTTGTTACTTTTGCCTTTGTGTTATCTCTTTCTATTTCCCTCCCC